TTTCAGGTTCCCTCCACCAAAAAAAAAAGAAGGTAAGCCCGTGACGCAGGCGCCTTATGGCACCCGACCCCCAATCGCACCTCTGAGGCCGCCCAAGCGCATTTGCACAACTGCGTCCGGCGGTTGTGGTGTCAGGCTCCGCACAGAAACATAGAAAATACGCTCATCCAGGACGGCGCCGGTGCCTTGGCACGTGCCCCCCACAGACTTGGCAGCTGCGAGGTGCATGGGCGGCAGCTGTGCGTGGCCAAACAGCCGGGGGCTCGCGAAGAGGAGGGGCCCAAGCCCACAGAGCGTTTGACGTCAGCCGGCCCTGCTGCCGCCGCATCCGTCACGATGGACCCCCGAAGCAAAAACAAAAGCAAAGAGGCGTATGGGACGGGTGGTCTCAGAAAACGGTGCACATTACCCGCAGGGACGGATGCATCTGCCTCATCTCCCACTGGACGTCCGCAGGCACAAACATCGTTTACATTTCATTGGGGCCTTCACCGCCCCGCTGCTGCTCCCTCACTGAAACACCCACACACACAGTTTACCTTCACCGCAAACAACTCCGAAGCCCGCACCCCCACAAGGAGGGAGTTTACATCCAATTGCCCCGCTGCCCCTGCAAAAACACAAAAACCACGCAGAATAAAGCGGGGCGGCCCCCGCCCGCACGCACTCCTTCAGTCGGCAAAAGAGGAGGAGGAGGAGGAGGGCGGCGTCAACGTGCCCACAGCTCCAGGTTGCTCGCCCGGTGCGTGCAGCCCAAGCAACACACGGAGCAGGCGCACACACGCCCAGGATGGCAACTCATCAAGAGACAGAAGCGCCAAAAACATCGTTTGCCCGAGGCCCTCAGAGTCGAATTCGGCTGCACCCGCTGCGGCGGCACACCAGCCAGAACGACGCCATGCACAAAAAGAAAAAAAGCGAGGGAAACACTGCACAAACGCAAAAAAAAAACAGCATAAATTCGGTTTGCCCCACGATTTATGGGCGGTGCCGGGCACCAACCCATTGCCGTCACTGCTGGTCAACTTACCTCAGCCTGCAAAACCACACACTGCGTTGCCCAAACTCCCCCTCCCTACACACACAGCGATATAAACTAAGAAGCAAAGTGAGTATTATTTATGAGGTATTGTTGGCACACATCCACAAACTTCAATCGTTTCTGACGCAAGCCCTTCAAAATAGTCGATAGAATACCTCGCGGGCGGCGCTTACTGCTGCGCCCATTTCCTAATCGCATCCTCTATTCCTACGGCTATTGAATAAGTCGGAAATTTGGGACGTCTTCGTATAGTAACGTCAGCCGATACTGATGTGCGTCTGTCCACAACTTCGCAATTCTCTCATCCTTTTCGCTCGTCAAGCGTTCGATACCGGCGCACTTCTGCCACCGACGCATTGGCGCACTGCCGGCATGCTGCACATAAATAATCTCCAAAGACAAGTCCCGGGAAATGTTGCCCCAATTGTTAAAGCACTTCGTCATATCATCATCAAAATCCTTCAATTTACTGTCCGTTGTGTCATGCGCAGCCGCCGTAGTAAACTGCAGCCCAACCATCGTCCTTCTCGGGCTTGTGTTCAGGAAAAAAAGAGCGTCCAGCAGCGGAAAGTTTGGCTCAACCGGCAAGTACATCGCCGCGTCCTTTACTGCAGGCCTCCCATTCCTGTTGTCTCTCTTCT